CTTTTTTTGAGTAAATTCAGTAAGCAGCAATGTCCGCTTAACTGCAACCAGGGCTTGCTTTCCAAGGACGTTGCTATAAGGCGGTCAACACTGTCATCAAGAGGTCTCATCTCTGTACAAGTCAGGCGTCCAACACATGGAGAAACAATTGTGAAAGAAAATGTTTGATTTCGCACCCTCTGTGGATGTGAATGGACGAGAAACGAAAATGAAACAAAGTAATTACGAGCAGTTGAGACATGGCGTGTCATGACGCGGTGGAATCAGGCGCTCGTCAGTGTTTGAGTAATATGGAGTAATTGGTATAATATTAAAACCAATTTATTTGCTTTGTATTTGATGAAAAATTAATATTTTTATAAAAATCTATAAAAATTGCAATACAAGTGGGAAAAATCCGGTTTCCATATAGTTTTCCCGAAAGACGAGCGCCTGATTTTACCACAATGTCTCACAAATTATAATTATTATGTTTGCTGTTCATTTTTGGTACTGGAAAACATGACAAACATTGGTACTGTGTGTGTGTGTGTGTGTGTGTGTGTGTGTGTGTGTGTGTGTGTGTGTGTGTGTGTGTGTGTGTGTGTGTGTGTGTGTGTGTGTCTGAATGTGTATGTGTAAATAAGTGTAAGCATTTGCACGGGAGTAAGAACAAGAGAGCCAGAGAGTAAGTGAGAGAGCGAGAACGAGTCTGTTCTAGCAGATGTGAACAGTCTATGGACATAGATTATCAAATGCCTGGGTCCACTAAATGCCATTAACATTGACGTATTTTATATTTTCTTTAAAAAGCTAAGACCCCATAATGATCTGATTAAATCTTTGTTTCTTTCATATTCTAAATTCCGGATACATCGGTTTGTTGCTAAGTAGTCGAATGGGAACATTGTCAAGTAAGGGAGTTGGCAGGATTTAAACGTTTCGAAGGAAAAAATTGTTCTTTCTTCTTTCTTTTAATTTTAACAGTTTCAAATGGACGGAGAGAGGTTTGATTTAGGGTGTAGGGGTGGGGGGTCAATCATTGCTTTTATTTCTTTTTCATGTCTTTTTTTAAAGTGTAATTAGTGTACGTCTGCATGAGTCTGAGTAAAAGAGATTAATATGCCAAGGTCTTTCCTTTTAAAACAATGTATCACTTTATGCGCTTTAGGATATTGCACAAATATAATTTGCAGACTCTGTCTTCAATTGAAAAGAAAACGACTGCAGTTCAGATCTCTCATAAGCGTATTTAGAGTCCAATTTCGAAAGGATATGTCCAGAGAATGCAATACTGGACCTGACACGAAGACCGTCAAGTAAGCTACCTTATCAGAATTGATCTCACTGCCTGCTACCAGCGCTTGAGCTTAAATGAGACGAAATATAATATACGTATAAAAAGAACCGAAATATATAAAAAGAAGTTGCATAAAGAAATGGAATGCAAAAAGTGTCTCCTTAGGGGCTATTCTTTATTTAGACGCGGGCTGTTAGAACCCAGGAAAAAGGGCGCTCTTACATTTCATTTACGGTTTTCAAGTATGATTTAAACTGACGCATCGAACAATGAAGCATTAGGCTGTTCTTATACAGCTTTCCTTCCCGGACTTGTATTATGCCATAATTCTGGACGTAATCTTCTCCTGCCTCTTTCAAATATGAACATCTCGCTATGATGGATGCTCTCGTGGAAGCCCCTGCGAGGAGGAAGAAAAATCGAAACAGCTCATTCGGGTGCATGGAGGGCGGAAAGAAAAAAAACCACAACAGAAATCTCGAGGACAGAGAGTAAAAAGCATGCCTCTTTCTTTTTTTTTTTTTTGGTGCTCATTCTTCCTGGTTGTATTTATCAGGGATGCAAAATTGTTCCATTTTTTTTCTCTCCTTCTCTCTTTGACAATTTGAAATTCATGCCTTTCACGAGTTCGCAAAATTTTCTCATTCTTTTCCACTACCCATGCCTCTCCTCGTGTTCTCTTTCTCTCTTTGTTTTTCTCTGGGTTTTTTTTTTCTTTACACAAACACATGCACCGAAACAAAGATATACACACACACACGCAAACCTATTTTAATACGCACGCGCACACACACAAGCATGCACGCTCGCTCGCGAACACACGCGCGAGCACACACAAACAAACACACACACACACACACACACACACACACACAAACACGCACGCACGCGTGCACGGTACGTGCACGTGCACGTGAACTTTCACCTTTGACTCTCAATTTCTCTCGTCTATACTCGTTCATTATCATTATCACTCTCCCTGATCATCAGTCAGATTCTCTTATCATCTCTCTCCTTCCCTCCCTTCTTTTCTGTTTATTTCTATTTGTTTACAATACAAAATCTCCGCCTTTTTTGTCCACCTCTTTCGCTCTGCATCAGTATCTACCCCCCCCCTCTCTCTCTCTCTCTCCCTCTCTCTCTCTCTCTCTTTCTCTTTGTCTTTACCGTCCCTTCAGCCCCACCCCCGCCCCCGCCTTAGGGGCACAATCAAAAGATGTTGTGACATTGATTTATTCCACAAGGAAACAATGTCGCAAAATGTGAATGGTTAAAAAACAATAAATAATTATAACCTTTAGAGCTTGAAAAGGAGGAAGAAGTGTAAGAAGTGATGTAATCATATTGAAAAACAAACACAAACACATCAAACACCTCTGTTGACTTTAAAAATCAAGACTCCAAAGGAACCCGCATAAGTTACAGAATTCTGTTGTTGTAACCACCCCTACGCCCCC